CTTATTGTCCCTCTTGCCTTCTACAGACCCGGGCGATATTAGTAGAGGTATCTGTCCTAGATAATGTCCCTAAGTTGCCTTAAACTTCTCTCGTACTATACTAGTAGCCTCTCGCTCGATTACTGCCTAAGCTAGTAATTGCGACCTAGTACTCGTCGGCTGTACCTACTACTAGTAGACTTGCCGCTATATTTCGTCGTCTATCCGCTATATCCGCTCGGTAAAGGAAGGCTACTGCTATAGGTTAAGCGGCGCTAGCTTCTTCGAAGCCTTTTTACTATCGTTCTAAGAGCTTATTATAGCGACTAAGTTTAATGCTACGTAATTGGACTCGGGCTTAGTCTAAATGCTTAATGCTTAATGCTTAATGCTTAGTATAGAAGCTAAGTTATTAGTGTACGTTTCCCTAATGTCTCCTAGGGTATCTTACTAAAGAGGGAGATCGAGCCGCGATAAGTACTACTCTTCGACTAAAAGTTTGCTACCGTTGCCTACGAGGATATACCTGTCTGCGTAGCAAGCATAACGAACAAGCATAAATAAGTTACTACTATAGCAATTATTATATACCGTAGATAGACCGTACGAAGTTATACGGTATGTAACGATTAAAGTTATATAGTATATAACGATTGAAGTTATACGGCATATAACATTTCTACGATTATATACCGCTTCTAGAAGCAAGAGCTAGTTAATACCTGCCCTTAGCATATAAAAATAGGTATTTAACGCTAGAACTGAACTAAATGATTACTATAGTTATTAGTATACGAAGGCTTCTCGATTGCTAAAGGGGTACGAGGTTTAGATACGAGGTTTAGATACGAGGTTTAGAAACGATATAAAGGCTAAAAAGTTGTCGGCCTATAAATGTAACCTTAATTCGAGAAGTGTCGTTCGTATTTAGCTATAGCACGCGATCTACGCGCTATAGCGAAACCCTCGCCGCCTCTGCGAAATAAGCTTCTAATAAGCTTAGTTACAAAGTGTAGGCCTATAATATAGGCATCGAATTAGCTTGCTAATATAGGCATCGAATCGACTATCGAATCGGCTATCGAATCGGCTTTACTAATAGTTGAATTTCCTATAGCATACCTAGTTAAAAATAGGCATTACTCCTAGGGTAGGCGTTAACTTTAATCCTATGCTTGCTATTACTACCTAATCGGAAAGCAAAGGATCCGTCCCGCTTTACTTCTTTAGTAGAGTAAACTTTATACTAATCGCTAATATATAATAACCTATAGCGCCTAATTTTAGGTACTATAGGTTATTATACGTTACTTCGACGGTGCGGGATTACTTTAGAAGAGGACTTTACCGTCCTAACTTTACTTCCGCCCTACTAGCGCCCTACTTTATTACTATTATCTATTGTCGAGCAGTTCTTTAGTCCTAGATCTTACATAGCCCGAACAACGATATATATCTTCGGTCTGTTTTCCTTTCTTCTTCCTTTCCTTCTTTAAGCATCCCGTATACCCTCTTACCCTCTTCTATAACGTTACCTTAAATATAAGATCTACGTTAACGGCATAGAAAGTAACAAAGATAGTACTATTCTTTAGCCCTACTCGGTTCGCGATAAACTAGGTCGTATATTTAGTTTGTGTTTCTGTTTAGTAAAGGCAAGATACTAATATACTTATAGAATAGCGGCCCGCGCGCGCAGGTCGCGCCTAGTCTTAGCCCTCGCCTTAGTTAGCAACGTATTCGGTCGCCGGCTACTCGAACGTATATACTTCGAGCCTTCGAGCCTTCGAGCGATATAGATTAATATAGTTTTAGTTTTTAGAATCTTAATATAGAGCGCGCTATACGGCGCTCTAAGCAGGCTTTTGTCTGTAACTAACGATATGTTCTTATATCCTTAGTCTTATTTAGTGGATCTATATAGCAAGCTTACTCTTATATAGCCGGCGAGTAGCAGTAGTAGTAGCGTAGCGGTAGCAGCAATAGCAACAGTAATAGTAGTAGTAATAGTAATAGTAATAGTAGTAGTAGCAAGTAGTAGCAGTAGCGGCAGCAGTAGCGGCAGCAGCAGCAGCAGTAGTAGCGTAGCAGCAAGCGTAAGTTAGTCTCTTTAAGCCGATCTCTTTGTTCTTTCGCATCGATACGCTATTTGCTAACTGCTTCTTAATAGTAACGACGACGACGACGACAACGACGACGATAATAGCATTAGCTTTATACTAGCAATATAAGTCTAGCAGTACTATAAGCGTAAATCTAGGAGACAATAGACTAATATATATATAGCGACAACGATAACGATAAGTAGTAGTAGTAGCATAATCCCGCTAAGGAGCCGTAGGTCTATCTAGTAGTCTTATCGAGTTGTTAAGTAGTATACTAAGAATAGTATAGAGACGACGACGACGATAACGATAACGATAAAGATAACGATAACGATAAGCCTATCGCTACCGCTCCGCGCCGCCGCGGCCGCCCTACTAGGTAGGGCATTTAATACATTATACCGACACTAGGCACTTTAGTAGAGGTAGATCCTATAGTATGCTTCTTGTCTGTTAATTAGTAAACGAATAGCTAATTATCGTATATAGGAATAGCAGATAGAGGTCGCGCGTAGCCCTTCGGGCAAGTTAGTAAACTAGCACTACGCCGGCTAGATTTAGGACCTAGCTCGTAGGTTTAGCGAGCCTCGCCCTACCTGCCGCCGCTATACCCGTCGCTCTTAGATTACTAGCGACACTCGGTACGTAAACGAGTGTCGCCGGTATAGCGTAGCGGCTGCCTAGCAGCTAGGCACCCCTATCTCTAGTTAGTATAGTTAGTGCCGCTATAGTAACCGCACTTATAAGGATTAAGTTGTTTTTTCGCGCAGTAAGACCTAAAATATAGTAGTAAGTCGTACGATGCTTACTAGGAGTTTGTAGTATTTAGGGTTTAGCGTTCGTTGCCGTAGCTAGTCTACTCTTTATTTGTTTTTTTTTTCCTTCTATTTGCTAGCCTTCGGGCATAATAGGCTATGTTTTTTGTTGCTTTTTTTTACTCTTAGTAGTAGCCTTCGGGCATAGTAGCGCTGCTACTATAAATAAACTCTCTTCTCTGTCTTCTAATATTAGTACTTTGTTATTTTATAGCCTTGCTTTTCGCCCTTTCCTTAAGTTAAGTCGATTAAGCTACTTTCTACTAGATTACGCTAGTAAAAGTACTTAATACGATAACGAGTAGTAGTAGAACTGTCCGCCTTTGCCTATAGTATAGTATATATATACTACGTGCTATATGCAAAGACGAGCAGCTAGCCTCGCCTAGCTTTATAGTTTTTAGGTATTGCTTAATAATCGACGCTTTAAGCCGATAGTAGCTAGCCTCGCTTAGCTAGTATCGAGTAGCTAGTGTCGAGTAGCTAGTGTCGAGTAGCTAGTATCGAGTAGCTAGTATCGAGCAGCTAGTATCGAGTAGCTAGTCTCGAGTAGCTAGTCTCGAGCAGCTAGTCTCGAGTAGCTAGTCTCGAGTAGCTAGCCTCGCTTAGCTAGCCTCGCTTAGCTAGCCTCGAGCGGCTAGTCTCGCTCGGCTAGTCTCGAGTAGCTAGCCTCGCTTAGCCTCGTAGTTCTCGGATATTGCTTAATAATCGACGCTTTAAGTAGATAAATAAATAAACAAATAGATGAATGTATTTGCTTACCTATAGTACCGAATCTTCCGTGCTATAGGCAAATAGCGGTATCTCGCTCGGATTTCTAGTTCTCGGATATTACTTAATTATCGCTAAAGGCCGCGCTACTATTAGCGCTTTAGGTCGATAAATAGACAAGATCTCGGATTTTGCTTAATCGTATTATTACTAAAGGCCGCGCTCGATAAATAGATAAATAGAGAAAATTGCCTATAGTACGTAAGATTAGGTGCTATAGGCAAATAGCAGCATCCGTCCGGTCTTCTTCGTTAGTAAGAACACCTCGTAGGTACGCCTTCCGTTTCTGCGGGTATTAAAGAAGCTCTACGCAGTTAGGCAATTTTCGGCAGCGTAGTCTAATAGTAAGTGCTATAGACTCTTTCGGTAGACGTAAAGCTCCGATAGTATAAGAGGGCTATTAGCGTATAAAGCTCCGATAGTATAAGAGGGCTATTAGCGTATAAAGCTCCGGTAGTATAAGAGGGCTATTAGCGTATAAAGCTCCGATAGTATAAGAGGGCTATTAGCGTTGTAGCCGTAGTACGTCTTACTATATAACTAAGCGGCTCGTCCTCTCTTCTCGCGCTTTAATAGCGGGTTTATATAGTTTTAATGTTTGAATTCGCTTGTGTGTCTTAGCTCGGTAGTATATAGAGGCTCGGAGTTAATATCTGTAGGCACTATAGGCACCGTTAGTAGGTAAGTTTCGTAGGTATACGTTAAAGAGGAAGAAGGTAAGGTAAATTCCCTAGTCGAGTAGAATACTAATCCCGTATTTTGCTATAGTACGGCAAAATACGTACTATAGGTAGATGCCGGTATCCGCCCCTATTCTTCGCAGCCTAGTTACTTATAGTAATGCGACTCGCGGTAGTTTTATTAACCTTCGCGACCGAGTTTCTTATTTAAGACTCGCGGTAGATAATAGAAAGTTAGTATAGTATTTCGCTATAGCACGTATCGTAACGTGCTATAGCGAAAGCTGCCGCTACTTAGCTGTTTCGGCGTCGATTAATATTATTAATGTTTACTAATAGCTACTGCTAAGCATTGCGATATACGCTGAATTGCGTATAGCACTGTAAAATACGTGCTACAGACAAATATCAATATTCGAGGGAGGCAAAATATCGAGAAACTAGCGAATAGAAAATTCCAAGAAACCGAGGATCCGGAAAACCAGAAGTTTCGGTCTAGTGCTACGATTAGGCCACCGCCAAACGGGGCTTGGCCTCAGCTGGAGCTGTCGCATCCGCATTGCTAACGACTGCGCACGGCTGTCCCATATACAGCAGGGAGGGATCCGTGGTCGGGTTTCTCTTGTCGTTTCGGAAACGTCCTTACGAGCATGTCGGTGAGCACGCATCCGTTCGGGAACGTGCAGAGTCGAGATGTGATCGGTGCATTAAACAAGGGTCGCACGAAGCGACTTCATCGCAAGTCTCGTTCAGGATGCATCGTTTGCAAACGACGACGAATCAAGGTGCGTGACTGGGATTCAATTGCGGCAAGCCAGAGAGACTAATAATGCGTCTTCAGTGCGATGAGACGAAACCTTCGTGCCTTGGTTGTCAGAAGAAGGCTCTAGCGTGTGTATACGGCAACGAGGACAGAGCTCAGACTGCCATAAGCGGAGTGCTCCAGCTCCCGTCGCCCACAGGCTCTGCGGGAAGTACATCTTCGAACGCAGTGGAGCAGCATTGTTGGGAGCATCCTTCTCCAACATCGAGCCCGGCCGAGCCAGTGTTTGAGGTATCAGAACTTGCAAGTGTGTACTTTGAGCACGTTGCGCCTTCGTTCTTAAGCAGTAGCACTCGGCCCGAGCAGACCTGGATCTGGCATGTGTTCATCCCCTCGCAGGCGTATTCGTCGACGACTGTATGCCATGGAATGCTTGCTGCTGCAGCCATGTACCTCTGCTTGACCGGTCCACGGGAAGAATCCGCAACGTATCTCGAGGCTGCGACCCAGCATGGTAGTCAGTTCGTCGAGGGCAGTATGTCACAGCTCCAAGACTTGCAGGCAGCTCGGGCCCACGAGCATCTCGCATGTACGCGACTGCTGTGCGTCCTCGGGTTGGCATTCTATCGACAGCGAAGAGAGGGAAGCGGTGTAGATCGTATCGAGTGGACGTGGTTGCATCTTCTCAAAGGTGTGCCGACAGTCCATGCCGCGCTCTTGGCCTCTTCTGCATCTCTCCATCAAAACCTTCTCGACGATATGTTTATGAAGCCACCGTCTTCACCCGCAAGCGTCCATCACGACCAAATGGCATTGAAGAACACCGGTGGCAGGCACGCACCTTTGCTGGCATATGTCGAGAGGACTCGTCAACAGAGATTCAGTACTCTTCGGTTCGCACTCGAACAAGGATGGCTGGATTCAGGTGGCACATATCAAGCAGCTCTGGCAGCAGTCATTGGCAGCTTGAGTGATATCACAGACAGCGTTTGCAATGCGGATTATGCAAGTCTCTTCAGACTACTCTTCTCCTGGGCCGCCCAGCTCCCAGACGCTGCCATCCGACTCTTAGACCAACACCACACAGGCATGATGGCCGTTCATACGCATTGGCTCATGCTCTTGATCCTCATCGAAGACCAATGGTGGATGGGCGATATGGGAAGGTCTGGAATTCGTGCAGCTCTTGCGATTCTCAAGGAGGCAGAGAACGACCTTGCTCCGGTCGTGAGTTGGGCTCGCGAGGCATTGGACATGTAGGGATTGGGTCAGGCATGGTAACAATCATCTATCGAACCGCCGTACGGCTGGCGGAATTAACAAAGAGGAAGGAAGGTGTAATAGACCTGATGAGAACAGCGGAGTATAGCAGTGGACTGCAAACATGGAATTGATCCTCCTTGCCTCCTTGTCATCACCACCACAACAACTGTGTAATACTTGATCACTTCAAGAGCTTCGAGAGTGTGAAGGCATACATTCAATCTGCTCCAATGCTTGAACGTGGTCAACACACGCCAGTGAATCAACGAGACTGATGAGTATAGCATCGTGTCCTTAGGCTGCTTATATACAACGATATTCTATTCTCTGGGCGCAAGTTCTTGGCCTTCGGATCTACAACACCACCACCACCAACTGACAACAACGCGATGTGCACGATTCCAGGGCAAGCGTGGTCCTGGTTATGTATTTGTGGGAACGCTTTCCAAATAATCGAAGGGAACTGCCGGTCGAAAGAGCAACCGAGGAACCTGGCCAAACTCTCTTCTCTCCTGTCGTTACGGCCAATCTTCGTATCTTTTTCTTTCTTCGAATCAATTGAAACGAATCCCGCGAGAGAACAAACTTGCAACAACACCAGGTCGATTCGAAAGGGAAACGAAGGAAAGGGCTGCCGGAAAATGAGCCCAACAAGCACGATTGACCGATGACGAAGGAGAATTGATGTGTTGCCGCCAGCATGTCGACTCCCCAGAGCCCACAGCGACAGGCTTTGGAATGCCTGGTCCAGGCATTTAACAGAATGGACATCGATGCCATCTTCTCCTATCGCCATGAAGACTGTATGCGATACATTCTGCCCGCGTCCATGGGCCATCGGCCTCAGGACAATACCACCTATCGAGCACAGCTAGAACAGCTGCGACCCATTTTCCAGAATTTTCGCCTCACGCTTCACGACATTGTCGAAGATGTAGAGTCGAGAAAGATATGCGCTCACCTCAATGCGCGAGCAGATACGGCTGCTGGAGAATAGTGAGCATGCATGAATGCCGTTCTGTCTGGAATGCTAAGCTGACGACCCCTCGTCAGTATCAACGAGTACATGTGGACACTACAGTTTAACGAAGCAACCAAGATCATCAAATGGAGCGAATTTGTCGATACCGGAGTCAATCGTGATTTCTGGCCCAAGCTTGAAGAGGCTATGCAGTCTCATCGCCAGTCGCAATCTCGGGAATGATCCCATTTCTTCACTGGCCCCAGGCATGGACGATAGAAGGTCAACCTGAGGAAAGACCAAAGCCCTCTAGTGCCAAGCGGTTGCAAGCCAGAATGCGTTCTTCCTCGGTCAAGAATTTGCTTCGAGTTGAAGTTGGAAAGTCCGGGAGCGCGAAGAAGACACCAATTGCAACAACGACTGAAGCCAGTCCCTCTAGTATAAAGAGCCATCTCCATCCTCTAATGCCTCCAAGATCATCCATATAGCCTGTGATTATACCAGCGAGAATGCCGAACAAAGCGCCCGCAAAAGCCACGCTGGTATAGAGCCAAGCGAATCGGGACGTGAGCTCATACTTCTTGTAACATGACGACAATTAGAATGTGCAGCCGGGTGCGAAGCCAACCTCAAATATTCCGAGTAAGAATCGGAGCGCGATCATTTGCTTGTGGTTCTGCACAGCTCCCATGCACGTGGCGACGCGGCCCCATCTGCGAAACTGAACATCAGCTTAACGGCCAAAACGGATCATGGCTCTCAAAGACTCACAGAACTCCAAGTAGCGGAAGGTATAGAGACGGCCGCACACGGTTGAGGATCATGTTCGAAGGCACTTCACAGATCAAGTATGAGATGTACCAATTCCAACGCGGAATTCAACTTTGGCGTGAGAATAAGATCGACGCACTTGTCTTTGCCCCTCTCAACAAAACATCACTCCAGAAAGCAGGCATGACAGAAGAAGATGAACTTCGCTGGCTTGCCAAACAGCTCGAGTTTGAAGGCACGACCAGTGAGATTAACATCGCCGGTCCATTATGGACTGACTGCGAGAGTAACGAGTCACGTTGGTATGGAGAAAGTCGCGGGCATGATCTCGAAAGTTTCGACTTTACAAGCTATAGAGCTTCTCCATCGCCTCCGGCAAGACACTCGAATCCGTGACACTCCCATTCCATACATCCAATGCTGATGATACCATTCAAGCTGCGAATCCGGCATCGAAACCCCCCGTCTAGCAGTCTGCGCCTTAAACCCGCATAACGGCGAACACGGCAATTTCGGGCTCCAAGAAATCGATCACATCGCTCCCGCAGGTCGAAAGGTATCAACGTCCAAGGCCCATTTTCCTGCGATACTATCTTCCTCAAGCGAAAAAGTTTCGATGGGATTGTTACGATGTATCACGACCAAGGACGGATTGCGTTGAAATTGCTTTCTTTTGAGGGCGGTGTTACGGTTCAGGGGGGGTTGCCGATGATGATTGCGACTCCGGCTCATGGGACGGGGTTTGATATTGTGGGGGAGAAGAGGGCGAGTGTGGTGAGTATGCAGCGGGCTTTTGATGTTGTTGTTGTTGTTATGGCTTCGAGGCGGGGATTGAAATTGCGAGAACGAGAACGGGAGGGCGGCGTTGCGTATGCGAGAACAGTCGAGTGGCGGAGAAGTTAAATCCTGCTGTTTCTGCGGTCGAGGGGCATTCGTGCTGCTAGACTGGCGTTTCCTGGTTCTGGGAATGTTGCGGCTGTGGATCACACTTAGCATTCCATTAATGCTGCTGCTGTGTGACGAAAAGGACCGAGGGTAGAGTTAATGGATGAGTGTCTTACTCTCCTCAAGATCGAACTCAATCAGACCAGGCTTTCATCGCCGGATCTAACCTGCCTGTGCGCTTGGGACAGTCGAAAGGGAATATTCGAGCTTGTCGGTACTGCATGAGTTCAGGGTAAGTGTGAAGTCTCTCAATGTACGACGAAAATCAGGTTCATTTTTTCGTTCGCAGGTATTATGCATGGCTCAGCCGTGCTTGCCTCTGAGTTACAACTTGGGGCAAAAGACCAACTCAAGATTGAGACGTTGCAAAATTATTGGAAAAATTACATTTGAAACTAAGATTCAAAAAAAATCCATCAAATCAACCATGTGTCGCTCGAGCAGCAGCATGCGACCCATCCTGCATCGACTCTCGCTTCCTTTTCTCTGCCCGGCGACCCCGTTTTTGTCCTGCAGTCACAGCCCGTCCATCTTCAATCCCTTCAACAGCCCCGATTTCCGACCAACCACCACATCCATCACACTTAAACTTGCGTCCAATCTTACAGACGCCACAAGTATCGCAATGCCACGCGTCGTCGTAGCACGAGTTACATTTCCAACAGTGCATGACCAAATCTCGATCCACCCATCCACCACGACAGAAAGACCAGAAATGTAGAGACTCTTTCTCATTCCTTGCAGTTGTTGGATCTTTGTCGGAAATTTCGCCAAGGCCGTACTGGAAGAGGAGTTGGAAATGCTCGTCCACGTCCGCCGCGCTCGAGCCTTTTTTCTGCATGCTCTTCAGCATAGCGCGCCAGGATGCCAGGATGGCGTCACACTCGAATGCCTCAGAGTCTCCGTTCAGCTGAATTTTGAGGTTCTCGACGTCAATGAAAGCATGTCTGCGATTTAGAAACTTTGTGAAGCATGCATTCGCGGGTTTAGTCGTGATCTTCTCTAATCGCGAGTGGTGGAGCAAAAATCCTACACCACCTTGAATGCCTCCTCTTGTCATTTGAGCCAACTCTTTCGTGTCGATTCCGCCGAAAATTTGAACGAGACTCTTGAAAGGGCTGATACAGGGGAAGGCAACTCGTGGTCGACGAAAGGCCCAAGAATCCATACAGTCGCACAACAGTGAGCAGGATGCGCCGAATTTGCGACATGCACACTGGCTGGTGTTGCAGCCCCCTTTGCATCTGCAGCTTGGTGCGGCGTCGCCGCCGCTGACGTTCGGCCTCTGGTGTGGGAAAGTTAGACGGAAATGTCGAGTAGCGTGATGAAAGCAGTGCTTACCTCTGTGACCACTCTGCCAAGGATCAGGGTCGACGGGCGTTCAACATCGCCAGCTTCCGGAGAGGACGGCATGGAGATCACTGAAGAAGATCCTGTTGTTCGATGAATAGCGGAATGGATTGTAGCAAATCGTGAATGGGGCTGTGTGTGAAGGTGAAGGCAGCAACGTCTCCTTCTCAAAAGAAAGGAGAAGGGATCCATTAAGCTCCCGAAATTGCGACAAGCCCCTCATTCACGCAACACCATTCGACGAATATCATGCTCCTCGAGAGCATTGACCTCTTCTTTGAAGCAGCGTAAGATTGAGATTAGCAATGTGCTGTATGAAGACTGAATGTCGGGTTGTGATATGCAAATGCCAGACGAGATTTGGAAAGTAAAAGCGAGCATCTCTAGATCACTTCCAGGACATGTTGCTTTATATGTACTTGTACCTTGATATGTACAGTGTCGTGTGATGGTATGTTGACCATGCATTGCGGCCTGGCCGAATCTCCTGGACATGTTTGCGAGCTGACGTCCGTCGATCGAGCATGTGCGTGATAGAAAAGTAACCGCAGTTTGGAGGATGAGTTCCATGCCGGTACTGATACTAGTTTGAATACTAGTAGTGATATTAGAATCGAATTAGTTTCTGCAGCAGTTTTCGGTCCTGGTCAGTCGGCGGCCGCAAGCTTGTTAGACAATATGAAGGAATTCCAAAGTTCTTTCTAAGCTCTTCCTTATCTCCTGCGAAGCCGTGCGATGATGGAAGATACATGTACAGATTCATGTAGATAGCGAAGGGAACGACTTCATGGAAGGGTGATGTCGAAATGCCAAGCACTTTCGGTCCGAGTGGTCCCGATTTCATCCACATTCTGTCCATACTTCATCCACAGCAAAGCCACATCTCATACACGGCCCATCCACGATCTATCCACGGTCCGTTCACGGCCGAATCAGGGTCAAACAGAAAAACCAGCAAGATCGAAAGCCGTCTGTGTCTGTGTCGTTCACGGTGCACGAACGTCGATAGCAAGTCCGACTGAAGGATGCCATGGTACAGTGTTTCTGGAGTCATCCATGCTAGTCGTGCGTAGAAGACCAAGCACAGCGTGATAGAGGCTTTGACGATCTTGGTGAGAGCGAGAGCGACCTACCAAGTGACATACAGTGACTTCATCAATATTATCCCGATGTGCGGTCGTTCATTTAGGAGCTGGATCAAGATCTAGTGCTATGCTTGCATCGATACACGATTGCGCACAACCATTTCACAGGTCAGAGCTGTGTTCGAGCTTTGCCGCGCTGCCAAAGATAGAGGGTGAGGGGTAGGGGTTCCGGGTACTGGGTACTGCCTGTTTTCAAGGCACTTCGAGCGTATCAAAGGGGCGCCGAAGTAGGCGTCTTACATCGGCGTCTGGCGACCGACCACAAGCGTCTTCAGTACGATCGATGACCCTGGCCAGCAGTCTCATTTGAGTTTCTGATGCCGTGAGCGCCGCTCCGACAAGCCCGGCGGGACGCGTCGACTTCGACAGCCGACGAGAGGCTGTGTAATGCATCGTCGAGAAGCATGACACCCATGTCATGTCCAAGTCTCCTATGCTGACCGCAGTGACGGCGCAGTCGTGGCCACACAGGGTGGTATTGCGTGTAGCCCGTTAATAAGAATGTGTCAATTGTCGCGCGGCTTTCTGTCGTCGATTCCTTTCTTCCGTTTCCAATGGTGCATGACAGCTGGAAAGCCTTCTCCGTTGGCGTGGCTTGCTGCATGTGTACTTATTCACTGGTACCAGCGCATATATCATTTAGCCTTTCACAGTAGTGTCTTGACTGCCGCGACATCCCACCAACTCGGCAGCCTTGCTCTCTCATCGGTCAGAGACAGCGCAGGGCCTTCGCATCAGCAAGCATGTCGGACAGCGACAACAAGGATGGAGATCATACCTCTATGCCATACCAGGCGATTATCGTCCTTTGCCTGGTCGGCGCGGGAGCATTGATCCTTTGTAGCTGGGCACTTTTCCGCCATTTCTACGAAGACGAACCAACGCCGGCGAGAGGAGACAATGTTGGTGAGGATGGCTATACGCAAGCGCAATACATGCGAATGGTCCGCCTAAGGAACCACGAGGAGCTGCAGCAGAAATATGGGCACATCAATAGTAATCCGTATCGCCAGAAGATGGCGCAGTCATCGGTGTTCTCAGTGTGAAAGGCTCTCGGCGCTGACCTTGACGCATCGCGACGCTCAATCACCACGATTCGGAATCTCCCAGCTTCTGCCGACAACCTCCAAAGCCTGTCGCAGCCGTACACGCAATTGGCGTCGTTCGAAGCGCCTGCAGGTAGATGGCACTCGCGCAAGTCTTTCGTGCAGTCATAGCAAGGAGGCCGTGAGCCATCGACTTGCGCCGAGGAGGGGGATGCGCAGATGCTGCGCCGAGGCGGGTCTGACGGAAGAGCAAGCAATGAAGCAAACGTGAGATACAGTAGCAGGTCGCAAGTGCGCCTGGAAGCACAGCTCTGTTGGCGTCTGATGGTATACGTCGCTGCACCTGCAGAAGTTCGACGGCCGAGCAGCAAGTGCGGGGACGCTCTCGCAAAATGTGATCAGGTCGCAAGTAGAAGAGGATGATGAGCAGAGACTTGGGTGCTTGGAGCGGATTGTGGAGAGAGTGTATCTCGACTCGTTTACTATGTGCTCCGGGGAACTTGTCAGTCCGGTCCGCAGAGCCGCATCCTCTCTCGGGCCACCAGCCAGGGGAAGAATAGGGGTGTTTTGTATATAGAATCGCCTGTTGCTTCCTATTGAACTGCTGTAGACAGAGAACAATCGTTATTCGAGCCTCGTACGCGTTTCTGACTACTTCTAACCACTTTCTAACTACTTCTAACTACTATAATCGCAACAATAGCGCTAAGACCGACACGTACGACTGCTAGTAAGCCACTAGTGCGATTGGACTAAGCTGCTAAGGTGAACCAGACTCTCGAGAAGTCTATAAGTCCGCCGCTAATTAGACGAGCTATTAATACGACTCGGTAGGCAAAAGGTAGTACTAGGAGTAGGTTAACTGCCGGTAAGAATAGTAAAGCAACTACCGTCGAAGAGCCTAACCTAATCGCTAGCAAGGAGACCGCTATAGCGCTAGTAGAGGAGTTATCGCCTAATATAGATATAGCTTCCTCTACCGAAGCTTCTATTTCCTCCTCTTTTAACGCTACGTAGGAGGCGGAAGCCGCTACTAGCAGCGTTGCTATACTCGCTGCTAGTAACGCTCTAATAACTCAACCTAGCTCTTTCTTAGATAAGACCTTCTATTATAAAGGACAGTAGACGCTCTTTAATATAACGAAGAGAGGCGCGGCGCGGACAATAGCGTATAAACCGGTAAAGTTCTTATCGGCGAAGAAAGAGGAGGGTTAGAATAGATACGCGTAGGCGGCGAAGATAGCGAAGTTATATAGTATAGTGCCAATTAATCGTATTGTTGTCCGAGCTAGAGCGGACAGTTAGAAGTCGGCTTTTACGAGCGATTAGTACCTAGCTAGCAATAATGAGATTAATAGTAATAAGGTCTATAATAACGCTCTCGAAGTTGCTAAAGGCCTTGTCCTTACCTCGCGGAAGAACGTCTTTATTAATATAGACTTCTTAACCAAACCTAACGCAACAGTAGCAGCTAGAGCTTTAGGTAGTAGCAAGAAGCTACTAGCTAAACCGGCTTCTAATCTAACCTCAATTTAGCTTACTAACGCCGGCGTTGTAATAGCTAAACTCGAGACTTAGAAGCGGTACGACTATTAGATTATCCGTAACTTTCTATATAGTACTAAGGACTGCAGCAACTTCTTAAAGGCGGGTAAGTATACGTACTAGCGTAACCGGAAGTTAAAGGACTGTAGTAAGAACTACTTTCCGTTCTTCGAGGCGGCTATAATCGAAGGGTATAAAGCGATCGCTTCTAGTAAATAGAAGGTAGACGAGCAGACTAGCGCTTTCGAAGATAGGTTGCTAGTAAGGTTAGAAATTAAGCTAATTAAGAGGAAGGTCGAGAGTAAGCTATAGAAGGCGGCTATCCGGAAGATAAGAGGTCGCCGCTATAGTAGCGAGACCGACTCGCCTCGTAAACCGGCTATTAGAGGTAGTAGAGGTATTAGTAGAATTTAGCCGATTATCTACAACAATTTTAGTAAAGATCTCGGCCGTATTATCGATAACAAATTGCGAGGCAGCGGTATTATTCCGGGTACGCCTTCTCGGACTCCTAGTCGAGCGCTAGTTAAGACTAGACTACGTAGTGAAGTTATATTGCCGCGCAATATCGTTTAGTGCGAGAAGCTAATAGTAGAATTCTTCGACTAGGTTGCCTTATAGCGCGACTTCTAGGATTACGACTATTTACGGCCTTATATCGCCTATTTCGTCGGCTCCGGCTAGACGCTAGAGACTATCTGCAATCTTACAAAGGACGACTAGCCGGCGGCACTTAGTAAAGTGGATAGTATGCGATTAAAACTAAAGAAGGCTATTGTCGAGTTTATAAGGAAGAAACAGGATAAGGTTATAGCGGCGGAAGCTGCCGTTACTAAAGAAGGGGAGAACTTTTAAGAATTCTAGCTTCCTTCCTATACTAATCTTTATACAACTACAATATATATAAACTTGTAATAAGCGGGAGATTCTTACGGTAATAGCACTTATTTAGCCTATATGTAATTGATTAATATAATGCGTTAGTTATAGTGTAAAACAAGCAATAGGCAAGGCTAGCGTTCGTATATATTCTTTATATCTCTACCGTACGGCGCTTGCCGCACGCTAGCAATACCTAGCTAGTTATATTACTCGAAGTCGTTAAAATCGACCTCTTCTTCCTCCTTACCCTCGTTATCTTCTTTATATAACGTATATAGCGCTTCTATATCGTTAAGCATCGACGGCTCGTTATTCTAAGCCTACTATATCTATTATAACTCCTCTAGGTCGAGCGCTATTATGTTTTAAGCGTTACTAGCCGTCGACTCGAATTAGGCAGCGTCGTACGGCAAATCCACCCCTTCGACGTTATATCTAGTATTAGCGAATAGCGTACGCGCTCGGCGGCCTCTATATAGGTACAGACAATATAGTAAGTAATCCTAAAAGCCAAAGAACTTCGGTAGCTAGTCCCTGTGTCTTTTAATAGTCTTCTTTAGCAGATTGAAGCTTCCTTCGATAGGATTCAAATCCGGCGAATACGGCGGCAAGTACTCGAGTCGGTGTCTAGCATCGAGAATCGCTTGCTTAATCCTCAATCTATAGTAAATACTAGCATTGTCTATTACAAAGATTATTAGCGGACCTTCTTCGAGGCATAGAAGCACCTGCTTAGTAATCTAGGTAAAGAAATAGTTACTATTAATCGATCCTTAGTATATATAGGTATATAGTAAATAGCTATAGACCGTAAAGGCCGGCAACACGCTCTACCTTACTTCTCGCTTCGTATACTAGACGTTAATATAGGTGACACCCCTTAGACTCTAACTATACTTCCGCTAACCTGTTTTCTAATTGCTAGTAGTCTTATCGATAAAAACAAGTCGATTAACCGGCTATTTAGCGTACCTAATCGTCTATAAAGCCCTTAAGAACGGGTTACGTTCCTTTGCCGCCCTCTTTACCTCCGTTCGAGTATACTCGTATTTCTTTAACGTCCTACTAATTAGAGTAGGGCGAAGCTTAACCGCGCTATTACTACTGTCTTTTATAGGGCGTAGCCTTATAAATTCATCTTGAAGAGCTTAGATTATCTCTATAAAGTAGGCGTCCGGTCGGTCGTCGAGATACCTAAGAAGAAACTCCTCCTCGGCTACTAGAAGCAGTATATTCGTTTAGCTACGCCGAGTGCCTATATTCTCGATATACAAGGCTCTAAACAACCGCCATTTCTCTTAATAACGATACACTAAGCGGACTGATATTAGAAGCTTTGCAAAGGCGTGTATCTGCTTAGTAGAATACCCTTTAGTAAAGAGGTTAATTAGTTAGCCTTGCTAGTCGCGGTTTATACGAGCTTTCTTCACTATTATAGATGCTATAACAACACCTTAGAAGGGTCTATACTACTGAATTATTGACAACACGATATCCACGATATACTAGAGAATTCTAGGCTTTAGGAAGAGGACTGGAGAGCAGATTTTGGTGGAAAACAGCGGTGTGTATGCTCGCCAAGCCTCTCTCGGAGGTGCAGGGTTCTCCCCGCGCTTACTGACAAGTTGGTCGGAGCACATAGTAGCTTTTGATTGCCAAGCGTCGCCAAGCGAGATTCTCATTCAGCTCCCTCCTTTTCCCCTCCCCGAAATTCGACAGAGAAATGTGCGGTTGGAGATGTCCAACGACGCTTCTACCGTTTGACCTGTACCGCGACGACATATGGGGACTGGACAGTCTGCAGAAGCGTCCCGCGCGCAATCCTCCACCAGGCTCGTCGGCGGCGCGTAATGGCGCGAGAGGCGAATACCCGACCATGTTTCAGCAGTCGGCGGCCGTACAGTACACACGTACGTACTACCTCCCCTGTGTACCCACACGGTCTGGCGCGGCTCAATCGGCCTGCCTTCGGCGTGGCATTCTGTTCCTGCGAGATTTTGGTCAGATATTGTTGCCCTGACGAACAGTCTCACCGACTCTGCTCACCGAAAGAGCGGAAATCGGATGTCCCTATTCGGAAAGCAGTCGGATCCGGAAATCGATCCATCTCCGATTTAAATAGACAGCATGCGCCAGACAGGAGGGTGATGTTTCGATAGGGCTGAATGTATGTCTTGGCAGTATGCATCGTCCACCGAGTGACGCGGCGAGCTCAATCGCGGACCCATGTCCCACAGTAGAGGGAGTACGTAGGAGTATGGAGAACCTGACGAAAGCAGCGTCTCTCAATTCACCACCCTCTTTCCTGTCTCTCTTTCTCCCTCCTGCGTGGCCACTCGACGTGGCTGGCTCTACGCTCTCTTTCCATAATGCATTTACCTTCACTCCTGGCTCTGACTGCTATCCTGGCATCAAGCATTGCAGATGAGGCTCCCTTCCACGCCAACTCTCAGTACAACAATGCGGAGTTGGGAAAATATGTCACACAAACCTTCAAATCCAATCCACACGTCACAGCAGTCCCGGTCGTCAACTTCATGAAACCTTTCACCAATTGCGATGACGGTTCTTATCTCTTCATCGCGCCGCGCGGCACTGTTGCAGAATCGACCCCAATGATCCTGGACATCACCGGTTCTCCTGTCTGGGCTTCAACAAAACGTTATGGAGAAGTCTACAACCTCCAAGTTCAGTCGTACAAGGGGTCACCATACTTGACATTCTGGGGAGGCAACGATGCTGTCGGTGGCCACGGAATCGGAGAGTACCTCATGCTGGATCAACGATACAATCAGCGATACAGCATCAAGGCCGCGAACGGTCTAGGTGCAGATCTACACGCATTCGCCCTCACAGAAGACGGCACTGCTCTGATCAGCATTTACGCAAAGAAGGCCACCGACGTCGATAGCGTAGTCGGCCATCATCGAGAAGGATGGATCTGGGACTCCATCTTCCAAGAACTCGACATCGAAACCGGAGAGGCAATTTTCGAATGGAGAGCTTCAGAGCACATCGACGTCTCAAAATCCTACACCGACATCAACGAAGCCACCGAAGACGCCCCATGGGACGTCTACCACATCAATAGCGTCGAAAAAGACGCCGAAGGTAACTATCTAATCTCCATCCGCTTCCTCCGCGCCATCCTCTACATCGACGGGAAAACGGGCGACGTCCTCTGGCAACTCGGCGGAAAAGACAACTCCTTCACCGATCTCTCCTCAGGCGACGCCACGACCTCTCTCGGCCAACACGACGCCCATTGGCACATCAAAGACGGCAAAAAGTTCATCACCTTCTTCGACAACCGCGCCGACTGGTTCCAGTCCATATCCCAAGAATCCTTCGGCAAACGCATCGAACTCAACCTCTCCTCAATGACCGCCCGCCTCGACCACGCCTTCTCCGACCCTCTCACAAAAATCTTATCCACGTCGCAAGGCTCCTACCAAACCCTGCCCAACAACCACGTCCTCTTAGGCTACGGCTTCAACGGCGCCATGGCCGAATTCTCGGAACAAGGAGAATTATTGTGTGACGCGTATTTCCAACCTTCGAGTACATTCGGCAGCGGCGATGTGCAGAGTTATCGGAATTTGAAATTTAATTGGACGGCGTATCCCGGAGATAGTCCGTTGTTGGTGTTTGAGGGGGAGGTTTTGTTTTTTTCTTGGAATGGGGCGACGGAGGTGGTGACTTGGTTGTTGTTGGGGAGTCATACGGATGAGAGGGATGGGGAGGGAGAGGGAGATGAGTATCGTGAGGAGTTGCTGCAGAGCCGTGCGGTCGAGGATGCGATTGTTGTTCCGAAGATGGGGTTTGAGACGCGATATCCAGTGCTTGAAGGGGATGGGGTGAAGCGTTTTGTGAGAGTTGTTGCGTTGGATAAAGAGGGGCGATCCCTTGGCACTTCCAATATGGTTGATTTGGGAATCAGGTATACGGGAGAGATTTTGGAGGATCATGGTCATGATCAGCCCGTGGATGGTGATCATGGTGATTGGGAGAAAGATGTGGGTGATGAGCAGATTTTGATTGGATTTGGGGTCTTGACGGTGTTGAGTGTTCTGCTTGTATTGTCTGTGACGGTTGGCAAGAAACCGCTGGCGCCGTTGTGGCCACGCAATCGGTATGATGAGGATACGGAGAAGATGGCAATTCATGTGCAAAGCAAGCAAGGTCGAATGGCGCACATTTGGCAGAGAATGCTTGCTATGGTGCCGAGACTGAGAAGGACAGACAACTTGACGGAAACTTCAGCGAAGGAAGGTCTCCTTGCTCAAGATGATCGGCCGCAAGAGATTGGAGAAGTTGGAATATCTCGCAATGAGCCGTGATTTAAATTTCAATGCAATGTGTTCGTTACTCGTGATTTTTCATGTCAAGTCTCCCATCGCAGCTCCAGGATTTCCGAATGCGTGTCTAGTCATCTTTCTCGGCCGCCAGAACGAACTCGATGATCTCCTCGCGCAGGCCTGGCCAATTCTTTCTTGCCCATGCGAACCATGTGACACATGCGAAGCCGACACAGCCGAGGAATATTGGGCCTGCGTAATTTAGATTCGAAGCAGAGACAGGTAAGGTATTTGGCCAGGGAAGGAAGACGAAGACCCAGGCCTGATGAATAGGTCAGCGATCACGTCTCCACAAACTCTTGCTGAGGTAGATGGCTTACGGTGTACAGGAGGGCATATGCATTTACCCAAATTCCAGCACGACCCTGTGACATGGTCAGCATGCGAAGTTGCTTGCGGAGGCAAACTTCGAGTGAAAATCACCAAATCCCATGACCCCATCTTCAGTTCAGCACCCCTCTGGAACCTCGCCCACACGAAACACGCGATGGCCACAAAGTACGAAAAGTACATGGCCATGGAAGACAAAGCAACGATCGCGCCGAACGCAGCAGAAGGGCCGAGGTTCAATAGGGCAAGCAACATAACCACGACAGTGGGAAGCACAACAGCTTGAATCGGGACTCCCAAAGTCGGGCTGATTTTCGCGAACCATGGATGTAATCCGCCATCTCGCGCCCAGGCCCAAGTCAGACGAGAAACGGTACCCGTGCCAGCCATTCCAGCATTAACATAGATTGGCGCTGTAATCGCAATAAGCGCGACCGTGGCATTGGCAGAGCCCGTGATCTTCTGTAAGATGACGAGAATCGGCAAGTCCGAGGCAACTAGATCATCCAGCGACCCGGACACGAACATGATCACTACCGCCATAGCGAAAGCCAGCAACCCATTCGCCGCTATGGACCAGAACATGGCTTTGGGCACCGTTTGCCGGGACTGTCGGGTTTCTTCGCTCATGTGTATCACGGAATCGAAACCAATGACTGCGATTGCGATATTAGCCCCAAGCCAAGGATTGAAAGCCCTAAGGTTGTGTAACTTACATAGCCAGACACAAGACAAGAGTCCCACGTTCCAGGACACGAAGTCGTTGCCCCAGCCATTGGATGTGTGGAAGAAGGTCCAGACGTAGCTGGCGCTGTGCTTCTCCCCCATTGCTGCGAAGACGCAGACGTATACTATGAAAAGTGCGATCTGTAGGACCGTGCATATCATTTCGATCAGCGGGACCCATTTGAAGGCGAAGATGTTTATGAGTGCTTGCCACAGGAGCAAGAGGTAGATGACTAGGACCAAGTGCCATGATTGAGGTTCGTAGGTTGGGTGCATGAATGATGCCAGGCTGAGAAAAATCGAAGATGTGAGTTGAGCGATGCTGCACATCACTGATAGGTACGCGAACCAAGTCACGTAGCCTTGAAGCCAGGTTAGGAATCGTCTTGGTTTGGCTGGTGCGAAGGCCCAGGTCCAGTGATACCTGGTACCACCGGAGAAAGCTGGTCAGTAAGAAGCATTGTAGATGTTTCATGCTCGGTCAACTTACTGCGCTCCAGCAATGGGTTGAATTGACGCCATCTCCGCAAGCGATGCTGCCTGTGTCATGGCTCCGATCCAGGCTATGAGCATGCCCCCTACCATGATCTGGGGACCACCGGCGTACAAAGCGAAGGACATGTTGAGAGTCACGCCCTCCCAGCATGCCATGTACATGAAGGAGAAAGCGAAGATAGAGGCATACGTAAAGATGCGCTGGGATCGATCAGATCGGAGCAGGCAGAGAGTCCAGAGCATCTCAGCTTGCTTGCCTTGATTGAAGCCACTTTGGCAACGAAGTTGCTCGTTGACGCTCCATGTTGATCTTCAGGTACAGGCGTTTCCTCGACAATGGGGGGTTTGGGCTTCTCCGAAGCCGCGGAAACACTGCTGGACATGGTCTCGGTATCTGAAAACGCTTCGTCTGGCTCGTCTTTCTGAGTTAGAAATATAAAAGCAATGAATGCTGGAATCTCTGGCGAAAAGGCTTTGAGATTTAACTTCATCGTTCGAGTTGGAGCAGACGTGCTGCCTTTTCAACCATACCTGCCACCACCACAACCTTCATAAGCCAGTCTACGCCCTGGACGATACACCAAACTGGTCCATACGTTCTTGCCCGTTCAGCGACGTGCATATGCGGTGGTACTGCAAGCAATATAGATCCCACACACAGGCCCGGACACTCTCGGAGACAGGAACTGGGGCTAATTTTCCAGAGTTAGCGGATGAGAGATAATGAGTCTAGCCCTCGAACATTGCACAAGAGGCAACGATGTCCACCTTGCCACGCGGGCCAAAAGGGTTCAATCGGCTCGTGTGACGGGTCGATATGTCCATGGCTAGACGCTTTCTGTGTAGATGGCTCACTTCCGGCTCTTGATAGTAGAAATCTGCGGTCGTGGCGAGCGTTCTTAACACTTCAACTTCAATGTTGATGATCAGAAGTGGATTTGTTCGTGAAGAACGTTGGCTGCCATCAAGGTTGCTGCGGCCCGTTTTCCCGCAGCCCTACGCAGAGCCTCATTGTCTGGCCCCACCTGTGTGCACTTGCTTGATTAATCGTCACCGGCTCGCTTCTCACTTCAACTGTAATTACCAACTGTGCGGCCATCGGACACAGCACTGCCAATATTCCCTGTATCGACGGCGCTCGGCGGACTCTTTGAGGAACTGCACCAATGCAAGCTCGACGGCCGACGAGCGTGCCACTACAAATCGTCCAAATGCCGGATCGCTGAGCGCAGCCCCTCCACCTATTCCCACCCCGGGCGCCGAACCACGCGCCGCCACACAGTATGGCCGCCATGGCCATGGAGCGGCGAAGAAAACGTGAGGCGATATGAGGTGTTTGCCGGCGAATGTGGCTGACATGCGCAAAGGCGATTTGCGAGAACAGAATATCCGAGCTTGGAATGGAGAGAAAGGTGCGGCAAAGGACTGATGATCCATGATATATCTGGAGCATTGGCAAGCTGACCAGGAGTGGCGCAGATATCTTCGAGGTCCAAGGCTCGCTGGACTCCAACATGAAGAAGAACACAGCATTCATTAAGCGCCTCCGTACCGCACTCACTGCTGCCAACCAGGCCACGTTCCTGCACGAGATACGCTCGCTGTCATTACACAAATACCTCACCGAAATCATCTCCGCCTGCTACGAAGGTCTGACTAAGCTGAAGGTCGCTGCGGACATCACGGCCGGCGTTGAGATTGTCAGCGCCTTGCATCAGCGATTCGGTCCAGACGAGTTCACTTCATATCTGGCTTGGTATGTCGGACGCGGCCTGGCGACACCGGATAAGGCGCAGCTCATAGCCCTTGCGACCGATGTTCGAGAGCGAGAGGAGAGGGAGCGCATTGCTAGACAGCGCACGCTACTTCGCGTGGCCACGGAATTATGGCTCGTCGGAGTTCTCAGGAGTCTAGAGGATATTGCCCAGCCGGCCGAAGCTGCAAAGGGCGCCAAACCTGCCGATACTACTTCAAAGCCTAAAGCCAACGGCATCCGAGCAGACACGGCAGACCCAGAGCCATTCCCACTCGAGGTTTTGAAGGATATGCTTGGGCAAGACCGCGAACACGTAAACTTGCCTCTGGTTGTGCTTTTCGTCAAGGCATTTGCCTGGGATATACTTGGATCCAAAGCGACGAAAGGAGCGCAGCGACTGAAGGTCGCCGAAGATGGCGCGACAACTGCTTCGAATGCGAACGGAGAGTCGCAGACCTCCACCGAGAACGATGACGGAGCTGTTCCAGACCCACCACTTACTCCACCTGCTATGCAGGAACGCTTCCGTAACATCATGCAGCGTTACTTCGACGATGTGAAAGCTCACATTGTCCGCGATCAGGAACGTCTTGCGAACCAAGGGAAGCGCAATGCTGAAGCGTATGTCAAGTCGGGAGAAGTCTTTGAGGACAGGCAAGCGAACTACGACAAGGCCGTCAAGGCTCAAGAGAAGCTCGTGGCCAGCGCTCAAACGCTTGCAGAAGTTCTGGGTGCGGAGATGCCAGACCTGTCTGAGAAGGACACTGCGAATGCCGGATTTGAGGGCAGCGTTGGACTTGTAAAGACCGGTGAATACCTTCGTGGCCAGAGTGAAGGTGCTGGTATCTGGGAAGACGAAGACGAGCGTCGCTTCTACGAAAATCTCACGGACCTGAAAGACCGAGTTCCCGGCATTCTTCTTGAGGACGGCAAGAAGAAGAAAGACGGAAATGATGAACAGGTTGGCAAGAAGATTGATGAATCAAATGACTCCAAAGACAAGCCGGCTGAGAGTGAGGAGACATCTACTGCAATCGCGAACAAGACTGTGGGAGCGCAGGTCGATGCGCTTCTCACAAGACTGCACGAACTCACAACCAAGGATCAAGTCGATCAGTTCGCAATTGACTTCTGCTTTCTGAACTCGAAAGCTTCGAGGAATCGGTTGATCAAAGCTGTTGAAGACGTACCAAAGGGCAGGACCGATCTCCTTCCGCTGTACGCACGTCTCATTACGACCCTTGGCCGCTATTTGAACGACATCCCAGAGGCCATGATCAAGTACCTTGACGATGAGTTCCGAAGCTTGCAGCGTCGCAAATCGAAAGACTTCCTTGGGCAAGTGCGCATGGTCAACATCCGCTACATCGCTGAACTCACCAAGTTTGGAGTTGTTCCTGAGCATGTCATCTTTCACTGCTTGAAAGTTAGCCTCGACGACTTTTCCAGGATGAACATAGAGGTGATAGCAAACCTCCTTGAGAATTGTGGAAGGTACTTGTTGCGCAATCCAGACACATCGCCGCGCATGACTTCGTTCTTAGAAACGCTACAGCGCAAGAAGGCAGCGCAGCATCTCGGCCAGCAGGAGCGTATGCTGATTGAGAATGCTGCTTACTACGTCAATCCACCAGAGCGTGCAGCGATTCAGCAAAAGGAGCGTACAACCCTTGATCTCTTCGTCCGCAAGCTGGTATACTCGGACCTCAGCAAGAAGTCTTTGGACAAGGTTGTCAAGCAGATTCGCAAACTACACTGGGAGGAGTCTGAAGTCGTGGACATCCTACGCAAGATTTTCGTCAAGCCCGGCAAGATTAAGTTCGGCAACATCTATTTGCTGGGCATGATGCTTGCTGCCCTTTGGCGCTTCCATACGAGTTTCGTCGTCACGGTTCTGGACGAGCTGCTGGAACGTATGACCGTCGGCCTTGAAGTCAATGACTTCAAGTACAACCAGCGACGCATTGCAGAAATGAAGTACTTGGGCGAGCTCTATATGTACCGCATCGTGGATTCAGCTCTGATCTTCG